TCGCTTCGCATGTCACGTTCGCTTCGGCTCCCACGTTTGCTTCGCCTCTCGAGTTCGCTTCGCCCCCCACTTTCGCTTCGTTTCTCACGTTTGCTTCGCCTCCCACCTCCTCCTCCTCCTCCTCTTCCTGGGCGCCCCCCGTTCGCTGCCCCCCGCCCCCTTTTTGTGGGGGTGGCCTAAACTGATTTAGCCCCCTCGGCCTTGGTGGTTTTGGGGGTTCTGGGGACTTCACCACCCCATCCCCGCCGCTGCCGGTGGCTTCCCTGTTGTGTCGCTGAGTGGTGGTGGTCTTCGAGATTCGTCCTCGTCGTTTTGATATCGTTCTGGCATTATCGGCCATCGGCATTGTCTCGCGAAGCTCCCTGCCCCTGCCGTTACCCCCCATCCACTTCCTCCCTGCAGGTGTGCGACGGCATCGTGGCCCGCGTCGCCTTTTTCGACGCCGCGCCTCGTTGCCACGGATGGATGCGATTCAGGACGGCATGCGGAGGCCCGAGGTCCCGCTGCTGCGGGGCTGCATTTAGCAACCAGGTCTTTCGTTTTAAGTTGTTCGGGGTTGCATTTGGCACCGAGGCCTTCGGCCTTTTGATTTTGGGTTGCACTTGGTCACTAAGCCTTCGGGTCTTGGTAGCCCCAGGTCGGGGTTGCAATTCGACAACCAGGCCTGCGGGCGCGGAGTTCCCTGGTGCGGGTTTGTAAATGTGGTCTTTGCGCCGGGGCGTCTCGTCGTCACGCTGACCACCGTGTCGGGGCCCTGTATGTGGGAACAAAGAAAAGGAGGAGGACGACGACGACGAGAGGAGGAAGGGGACGAGGGGGAAGGAGGATGAGGATGGGCGGAGGAGGACGAGGAGGAGGAGGAGGAGGAGGAGGATGAGGAGGACGGCAACGAGAGGAGGAGGCGAGGGATGAGGAGGAGGAGAAAACTGACGATTGGGACGGTCTGACAGGGGCAACGCTAATTAAGTACACCCTTCTGTGATCGATCTCCTCCAAGAAGATGGCCCCAATATTGCCCCCACGGCCACCGCGAGCGCCGCAAGAGGCCTAGAGGCCTCCACGAGACCCGAAAGAGCCTCCCCAGAGGCACCAAACGCGAGGCCCCCGGGACCCCCAAGCGGCTCCCAACACGCTCCAAGAGGCCCCCAAGGAGGTCCCAAGAAACATCCCAAGAGACTCCGAGAAGCATCCCAGAAGTCTCTGGCCTTTCTGCTCGCCATCCTCGCCCTATCCGCCAATTATTCATCATGTATCCTTTTCCGTCCTGCCTCCTCTCTCCTCGTCCTCCTCTGTGTCCTCCTCCATTTCCTCCGATCCCTCCTCCATGCGGGGCACGGCTCTTCTGCATGATCCTCGACTTCCCTTATCAGGGCAACTCGTCTGGGCATCCTTGCTGGATGGGCTTATGGGGATACTTGTTTGGTTCGCGGCTCCAAGGCGAGGGACAGGGAGCGGGCACACAACGTCCGGGGCGCGGTACGATGTAAATTGGCCGCAGTGGTGACTGAACATGCCAGGGACAAAATGCCCCTCATTGAGACGCAAGACAGTTACGGCAGGTGACCGGCCCAGACCTCTCGGCAGGTGGGGAAGCAAAGGCGCGGAGACCGGCCAAAGGCTTATGGGGATACGCGAAGCGTTAAGTTCATTGCGCTGGCCCGCCGCACTGTTCTGCCATGCTGGTGTTGTCAGACGTGCTGGTCTGCCGCGTTCCTGTCGTGCTCGTGTGGCCTGCCGTGCTGGTCGGCCGTGCTCCTGCGGTGTGCCATGCTGGTCTACCGTGCTGTTTTTCCGTACTCACGTGAACGCCTCAGTATTCGATTTTGTCTGCAGCGAGAGCCTCATGTTTGGAGATCAAAATACCGCGTGCCCCAAACGCCATTATTGTCTGAAGCCTCTTTGCAGCGAAAGCCTTATGTTAGCTAGTGTAGATGACGTTGGTAACAACATCCGTCGAGGCCTCTATGTTCGAGGACGTCTGCAGCCATAAACTTCGGCCCCAAGACTTTGCGGAGAATGTCCGCCGCGTGTCCCCAAACACGCCGGAAAACATATCCTCCACCATTCCCGCTATGTGGTGATATCCCTAGCGAAACGCGTTTCACCTGATACAGCCATGTGGGTACCTTTACATGTTTCATGATGTCCCCAGGCAAAGTCGCAATCTCAAGCATCAAGCAGAGGTGATATTTGAGCTCTGCGGGGCTACCTCAGAACCAAACAGAAACGATCTCGACCTCCGGCTTTCGCCCCCTCCCCCCCCCGCACACACACACTTTGGGAGGCGAAAGTGGGAAGCGAAAGTGGGAGGCGAAGCAACGTGGGAGGCGAAGCGAAGAGGGAGGCGAAGCGAACGCGGGAGGCGAAGCGAACGTGTGAGGCGAAGCGAAAGTAGGAGGCGAAACGAAAGTGGGATTCGAAGAGAAACTACGAGGCGAAATCGAAAGTGGGAAGCGAAGCGGATATACGTGGTGCAACGAAAATGGGACCCGAAGCTAAAGTGGGAAGCGAAGCAGACGTGAGAAACGAAACGAAAGTGGGAAGCGAAGCGAACGCGAGAGGCAACGCGAACGCGAGAGGAGAAGCGAACGTGAGATGCGAAGCGAAAGTGGGAGGTGAAGCCTAAGTGGGAGGCGAAGCGAACGCGAGAGGCGAAGCGACCGTGGGAGGCGAAGCGAAAGTGAAAGGCGAAGCGACTCTTGAAAGCGAAACGAATTATCTCTACCCACTTTCGTTCGCCACCCACTTTCGCCACCCACCTTCGTTCGCCGCCCACTTTTGTTCGCCACCCACTTTCGCCAACCACTTTCGTTCGCCGCCCACTTCCGTTCGCCGCCCACTGTCGTTCGCCACCCACTCTCGTTCGCCACCCACTTTCCGTTTTCCTTCGCCACCCACTTTCGTTCGCACCCTCGCCACCCACTTTCGCCACCAACTCTTGTTCGCCACCCACGTTCGTTCGCCACCCACTTTCGTTCGCCACCCACTTTCGTTCGCCACCCACTGATGTTCGCCACCCGGTTTCGTTCGCCGCCCACTTTCGTTCGCCACCCACGATCGTTCGCCACCCAATTTCGTTCGCCACCCGCTTTCGTTCGCCACCCGCTTTCGTTCGCCACCCACTTTCGTTCGCCACCCACTTTCGTTCGCCCCACACTCTCACAACCACTTTCGTTCGCCACCACTTTCGTTTCGTTCGCCACCCACTTTCGTTCGCCACCCACTTTCGTTCGCAACCCACGTTCGTTCGCCACCCACTTTCGTTCGCCACCCACTTTCGTTCGCCGCTCTCTTTCGTTCGCCGCCCACTTTCGTTCGCCGCCCACTTTCGTTCGCCGCCCACTTTCGTTCGCCGCCCACTTTCGTTCGCCACCCGCGTTCGTTCGCCACCCACTTTCGCTCGCCGCCCACTTCTGCTCGCCACCCACTTTCGTTCGCGAAAGTGGGTGGCGAAAGTGGGTGGCGAAAGTGGGTGGCAACAGTGGGTGGCGAAAGTGGGTGGCGAAAGTGGGTGGCGAAAGTGGGTGGCGAAAGTGGGTGGCGAAAGTGGGTGGCGAACGTGGGTGGCGAAAGTGGGTGGCGAACGTGGGCGGCGAAAGTGGGTGGCGAAAGTGGGTGGCGAAAGTGGGTGGCGACAGTGGGTGGCGAAAGTGGGTGGCGAAGGTGGATGGCGAAGGTTGGTGGCGAAAGTGGGTGGCGAAAGTGGGCGGCGCAAGTGGGTGGCGAAAGTGGGTGGCGAAAGTGGGTGGCGATTGCTTGTCGTGAGTAAGCTGTACCTTGTCGTGTTTCAGTTTTCTCTTGTCGTGTTTCAGTTGTCCTAGTCGTGAGAACACCCTAGTTTTGACCTCATGTGGGAGGAGGGGCTAGACAATATCAAATGAAGAGCGGGGGTACAGAAGAGAGAGAGAGAGAGAGAGAGAGAGACACACGCGGTCCGTCCACCCAATTTGCTCGGACCTCATCTGGCGGGCCCGCTTGGGCAAACGTGCAGGTACCGATGCCGCTGCTCCCCCGACCTCTCCTGGGGTGCGCACTGACCAAGATTTCGAAGCGAATCCACTGGTGGCGACGAGGGCCTCCCACGCGGCCAAACAAGAGGAAATTTCAGGCGGGTGGTACTGATGGGGTGACTTAAATGGGGGGTGAAGAACAGGTCACTCGAGGGCCTCTTCACGGCTCCTCTTGGAAGGGCCCAAAAAGGACCCTGAAGGGCTCCTGTAGTGCCCGTTTCTGGGAGCCTCATTTGGGTCCCCCTCCATTGCCACACGCCGGAAAGGAAAACGAGGAAAAGTCAGTGGTATCGGTACCTTTTCCGGCCACCGGGTCGCACGAGCCCCGCCAAGTACAATGCACCGCTTATGCAGCGCACCCGAAGAAATAATAACGTTGACCCAAGTTTCGCTTCGCCGGAACTCTGACTCTGACCAAAAATGATACCAAAGAAAAACCCCAATCATAATCTGTTTAGGGCTGTAGGGCTACAGGGCTCTATGGGCTCTTGGGCGCTATATGGGCTATATGGCTATATGGTTATAGGGCTATAGGGCTATAGGGCGATACGGATATAGGACTATAAGGCTAATGCACCCGGGCACCCGGGCACACACCCGGGCACCGGGCACCGTACCCGGGCACCCGGGCACCCGGGCATCCGGGCACCTGGGCCCGGCCACCGATCGGCGGCGAACCCAGGCACCCGGGCACCCGGGCACCTGGGCACACGGGCCTGGCCACCGAATCGGCGGCGAACCTGGGCACCCCGCCACCCGGGCACCCTGGCACCCGGGCCTGGCCACCGAATCGGCGGCACACCTCACCTACCCTTAAATCTGCGAGGACCCCTACCGAGGCAAGCTCTGATTGGGAAAAAACTTCGGATCGCCCAAACCCTGACTCTGACAACAACAAAAAAAACACGGTATGAGCGCGCCGTGCCTCTGACCGCTGGGCGGGCCCCGTGCCGCAGGCCGGCCGCCGCGGGCGCCCGCTGGGCGCCGTGC